CCAGTTACACTCAGGACATTCATATACTTGTTTTCCTCATTGAACACACACACACAGGGGAGGGGCTTTGTTGGAACTCTGGCATTCTTGTTCTCAAACTACTTACCATTTGACCTCAATCATTTCCTTCTCCCAAGAATTTCTACTTTCCCTATGGAGTCTTACCCTATGATCACAAAATCCTGTTACATCTTAGCCTCACTTTTCTATATTAACAATAACTACCTCTATCTTAAAGACACAACTTTCAGATGCTGTTTAACCTTCAACACTCTTGGTTTTGGGTTGAAAACTATGAAATGCCTTGCTTATCCTCACACTCCCTTCAATTACTTTATCATTACTTAAGAAACTAGTGTTTGGAGCCTGGACCATCGTGAATACTCCCTTCTCTCTGTTCTGACTGTGTATCCCTAGCAGTTTTCTGTGAGCATACAGACTAGACACTGATGACTTCTACATTCATCTGGAAAACAGATTCAGCATCCCATTTATCTCTACTTAATCACTTAGATGTTTCTTAAAATGCAGATTCCTGGGTACCATGTATATCTCTAAATTAGAATATTTGGAGCAAAATCCATAATCCAAATTAAAGGAAAAAATCTATCAGACTGACCATTAAAATAAACGTCTATGTCCTACTTAACTGGAGACACACCAGAAAGACGTGGTATTCAACCAATTAAGTGGAAGATGGAAATAAGATACACTACAGAAATACTAAAAATAATTAGTTTAAACTATTTCAGGATCAGAGAAGATAAACTTCAAGGCACAATACATTGGCAGACAGAAAAGGGGCATATTACAGTGATAAAATGTTAAATCTAGGGGCCAGTAAACTGCTCAGTGGATAAAAGTGCTGGCTGTACAAGCCTGAAAACCTGAATTTAATCCTGGGAAATCTATCAAGCAATTTAAACAATCTTAAACCTGGATAAAATCTCAAAAGAGGCAAATTAAACGAGGAGGAGGAGGAGGAAGAGGAGGAAGAAGACAATGACAAATTTACATATATAGTGAAAGGTTATAACATTTACTCCTTATAAGTGATCAAATAGATAAGAAGACAATCCAGTAGAGATAATTAAACAAAATATTTAACAAGCTTGACCTAATAGACAGAATACTATATACAGCAATGACAAAATATGTATAAATGTATTCTTTCTGACTTAGATATGAAATACTTAACAATTATTTAACAAAATTGACCATAAAACAAGACATGAAGCAAATCTCAGTCAATTTTAAAGGATGAAATTATATAGTATATATTCTCTGAGCACAGTGAAAATAAGCTAGAAACCAGTAATTGTAAGATCATCAACACTGTCAAATGTTTGGAAATTAAGAAGCACATTTCAAATAACAAATGAGCCAGAGGAGAAATTACAATGGAAATTAGACAGTGTTTTGAACTGAATGATAACGAGGCAGCTAAAGCTGTGTTTAGACAGAAATTTCCGTGCCTCAGCGCTCTGTGAGAAGCCTGAAAGAAATCAATGAAGCAACTACTCATTTCAAGGAGCTTAAAAAAAGAGCAAATTAAACCCAGAGATATGGACACCACAGTGAAATTCAAAACAAACATAGGGATGGGGAGATTGTTTATCTGGTGAAGTCCTTGATGGGCAAGCATGAGGGCCTGAGTCCCACTCCACAGCACCCATGTTTAAAAAAAACAACAACAACAAAAACTGGGTATGGTAGCATGCACTTATAACCCCAAAGTTGGAAAGGCAGAGATGGTGGATTCCTGGGATTTGCTGGCCGTACAGTCTGGCCCCCTCGGTGACCTCCAGACCAATGAGACCCTGCCTCAAAAGAAAAGATGTGTGGTTCCCAAGGAACGACACGCAAGGTTAACTTCCGGCTTCCACAGGTTCCCACATTGGGCTGCACCTGCACACATGTGCACATATACCCCCTACCCCATCCCCCCAAACCCAAAACATATAGAAAAGTAACAAAGCAGAAACATATCTTTGCTAGACCATTGGCAAAAGTGATCAAGGAAAGAGCACCAGGCTGGCAACATGATTCACTGAGTAAGGGGCTTGCCTCCAACCCCAACAGCCTGAATTCTATTCCTGACGCATATGGTAGAAGAAGAAGACACTCCTGCAAGTGTTCCTCTGATCCCCACATGGGTGCCGTGCTACATGTGCCTCCCATAAATAAATATACATCTAAAAAATACAAGCTATAAACTACTCATACCAGAATATAAAAAAATAGAAAACAATCTACAGGATTTTCAGTAATGATTATATTATTCAATTGTCTTACTGAAAGAAACTAAGACAGAGAAACAATGTTTTCAATTTGCTGGATATGAACAAATTCTTTTTCAAACACAAAACTCCAAAAATTGACAAGGGAAGAAATACAATTGTTTTCTTGTTTTCTTTACTGAACTTACAAACTTTCCACATAGAAAATCATAGTTAGTTTCACTTGTAAATTCAAAGGATAAATAGCAACAATCTTACAAAGTTCTTCAGAAGAACAGGTCAGCACAGTATCAGAACCCCACAATGAAATTGGAAAAAAAAGTAAATAGGCTAATATGTCTCATTAATTTAGGTGTAAATATCTGAAAAACATACTACATAACTGAGTCTAGATATCAGAAAACTGATCTAGGCTAACATGTCAAGACAAGCTTTTGGGGGGCGGTAGGGCTAGGGAGATGGCTCAGGGGTTAGGGGCTCATCGGGTGCTTTTCCAGAGGACCTGGGTTTGGTTCTCAGCACCCACCCAGCAGCTGACAGCAGTCTGTAACTCCAGTTACAGAGGATCCCACACCCTCTTCTGGCCTCCAAGGACACTGCAAACATGTGGTACATACCTATAATATACAGGTAAAACACTTGTACAAACAAAAATAAAGGTAAAGGCACGTGGGTGGTGGTAGTGGTTTGGATTTAGTTCAGGATGTCAAGATGTGTTTAGTGTTCAAAAATAAACAAATAGACTAAAGCAGGGAAATAATGATCATTATGAAGATAGAATGAATAGAATTCAATAACCATTCAGGATACAAACTCCCACCAATAAACTAGTATAGGGAACTTTTAAAGTAATATATATGTACAGAAAATTCTATATCTGGGCTGGGGATATGGCTCAGTGGTAAAGTGCTTGTTTGGTGTGCACAAAGCTCCAGGTCAAATCCCCAATACCACACACAAATATAATTCCTATACAAACACTGTACTTTATGTGCTATACTTCCCCTGGGATTAGGAATGAAACAAAGATAATCATTACAGGTACACGTATTCTAAAATGTATTGGATTTTAGCCACTTTAATAAGACAGAGGGAAAAATGCACAGGACAAAAGGTGATAACATGAGCCTAGTTGTCCACGAGTGGGGACAGAAATGAAGGGTGGGCCAAGGATAAAAGGAGAGGCAGATTGTGCAAAAGTCAGGAACTATGTAATTTTCTTCTCTCTTATAAATGATATAACTAGGTCTCCAGAGGTATATTGATTAGTTTAAGGTAACTCTTTAAGTAGAAAAGGCAATTGATCCAGGGCCCAAGTTCTTTTTTTTAAATGTGTTATGATTGTTCTTAGGAAGGGAGTTAGAAAAGTCTAAAGGACATTTTGTCCAGAATATGTTACTGGGTCTCCCAAACCTAGATAAAATTGCTATTGAATTTGTTACCCAGACCCTGGTTTCCTTACATAGCTAAGAATATAAGAACATATATGTTAAAATGATTATAGTCCTTTTCTACTCCAAACTCAAAAGAAATGCTATAAAGTATTTTGAGGGGGAGAAAGGAGAGAGGGAAAGAAAGAGAACATAAACTAGTGACTGAGAAAGAGAAAGGAAGGGATATTCACAGTTGCTGGAAATGAAGGAAAACTTTAAAATTAAAGATGAGGGAGATGACACAGACCTCAGACACAGCTTAAAGGCTAGTGCCCGGGTGTTAGTGGGAATCCAGGAATGGTGGACTCATTTTCCAGCTTTTAAGGTTAAAAGTATGTGTGGGTGAGTGATAAGGAATAAATTGCCATCACCATCTTGAAATGTGAACCCTGGACAAGCCCCTCAGTCAGGGGAGGAGGCAGCTAAAAGAACTAACTGTCCACAGATGAGAGACTCCTATCAGGGGCTGTGGGTAGGCTGCCTACAATCCATGTTTACTTTTTATTATGACAGGGTGTACATGTGGAAGTCAGAGAACAACTTGCTGGAGTCAGTTCTCTCCTACCATGTGAGTTGGTGGAAACTGAATTCAGGTCAGTCCTTAGCCTTGATGGACCTAGACCTACTGAGCTGTTCTAACCAGGCCCCATATTTGTTTTTGATTCAATGGTAAGAAGACTCATCAACAGACGACAGACTTGCCTGGAACTAGGCACTGACACTTAATTCAGGGGATACTGCACTGAATACCTAATGTGACAGAGAACAGACAATCCATATAACTCCCTGGAAGCTTTTGCCTTTACACTGCACTTCTGGGCACAAGTTTGGAGCCTTAGAGCTACAGGCTTAGGCAGAATTAGTCATGGAGGATATTAATTGAATTCTCAAAATATAGTGATGAAAATAAAAGCCTGTACAATCAGACACTTGGGTTCATGTGTTGATTTAGCTTCATGAGTTAAAGGAATTTGGTTGTTTTTTTTTTACTTTCTCATGACTTAAGATTAAATAAGGAATGACAGTAAAGTCTTGATGCATAGTAGGAGCTAAATCAATCTCAGTTATTATTATCACTTATTTCAATTAATTTCTGTAATTTAATCATGTGATTTGAAGGCCATTCGGAGGCAGAGGCAGGTGGATCTCTGTGAGTTCAAAGTCAGTCTTGTCTACAAAGTGAGTTCCAGGACAGGCTCCAAAGCTACACAGAGAAAACATGTCTTGAAAAACCAAACCAATAAATAAATAAATAAATAAATAAATAAATAAATAAATAAATAAATAGATACTATAACTAATGAAAAACTAAGACAAGAACACATACTCTGATATCCACCGAGCAGCCCACAGTCCATGATGGATTTCCCAGCACTTGATTGTGGCATAGAAGATGGACGAGAGAAGATTTCCCAACACCTGTGGAAGATACATGGTCTCTAGTCAGCGGAATATGTAGCCCTAAATGGGACATTTGTACCACTGCCTGTAAGCCAGGAACATCTCACAAAATTGTTTGAATTCTGTCAGTGACAGGCCTCATGATGTCATCATTCCATACTCAAAGGAGTTTAGTTCTCACACATAGGTTTTTAGAAAGCAGCTAACCACTTTGCCCCAGACTTATCCTCTGGCTGGTAATAACAATCCTACTCTCTTTTCTTCATCATGGCCTTCTACTCTGCCCCAGTACTTTATCTCTCTCTAGATCTCTTGTGCTCAGGCAATCTCGTCACTAATACTAAAGGGCACTTCTTGAAGATCTAAGAGGAGAGGAAAGGGATGAACCATCTATTTACATCCTGGTTTGGAGTCATTCGTTCATTTAACTGGCTATGAATTGTGAATTGTATCAAAAATTCAGGAAATCTCTCTGTGTGCAATATTACATATGCGCCTACAACCCATGTTTACTTTTTATTATGAAAGCTGTATTTCCAACAACCGAGAAAGTATAAAAAGGAAAAATCACCTTAGACCATGATTGCCAACCATATGGGGGTTTCTATGAACATGTTGTTGTTGTGATCATATACACAGTGTATTTAATAACAGTAAAAACTGGCTGAGGCTCAGTGCTTGCTCTATAAGCATGAGAACTGGGGTTGCATCCACAAAACTGACACACAACACCAGGCACGGAGGTGCATGCTTGTAATGCTGGTGCTGAGGAGGCAGAGACAGACAATCCCTGGATGTTGCCTAGCCTGACAGCCTTAGCTTAGGAGCTCCAGGCCAAGGGGAGACTTCACCTTAAAAAGAAGGTAGGGGACAGACATAGGTTAACCTCTGAGTTCGAGGCCAGCCTGGTTCTATGCTAGCCGGGGCTGTATAGTGAGACCATATCTCAAACATGTAAATGCCCCCAACAACAACACAAGATGGAAGGGCTGGAGAGATGGTTCAGCCATTAAGAGCATTTGTTGCTTTTGCAGACGAGACTTGGGTTCAGTACTCAGCTATGTGGAAAGTAATTAAAAATCCACAATGATATACATTAGGATCATGTTTGCAAATCAATTTTTCCCATTCTTTTGAATTTTCTACTGATGCAATCTGCCCATTTAACTGATAACGGGTTTTAGTGTTATTAACTTGTATGACCTTTTGTGTCATACTGTGAGTTGAATATTGAATACTGAGTATTGAATACAAGTTCATGCACATGCTCGGCAAGTGCTCTACTGTGGAGAAACATCCCAGCCCTATAGGACCTCTTTGCATATTAAAAGAAATTAAACATCTCATGTCATTGAAACAACCATTTTCTCAGGTTCCTATTATATTCTCTACATATAGACTTTAAGATTTGAGGGCACTCAAAATTATTTTTTGCATTATACTCACTTCATCGTGCCTGTCATCTATAGTCTTTAGAGTACATTGTTGATTTCTGGGTTTACATACAGGTTTATGTTAGAGGTGTACCTAAGGCTTTAGTTATCAGTTGATACATGCTTTGAGCCCAAAGTTGGCTTAACTGCATCAGAATAAGCATCTATGCATGTTGATATGTGTAGTTTATTTAGCTCTCCATGAAGGAAATGCATGGGGTGTGTTAGCCAAAAGGAAACGAAGCTCTCAGCAACGAGAAGAGATGACATTCTAGGGAATAGCAAGTGCTAACTATTCTTTTTTTTTTTTTTTTTTTTGGTTTTTCGAGACAGGGTTTCTCTGTGTAGCTTTGGAGCCTATCCTGGCACTTGCTCTGGAGACCAGGCTGGCCTTGAACTCACAGAGATCCACCTGCCTCTGCCTCCTGAGTGCTGGGATTAAAGGCGTGTGCCACCAACGCCCGGCTCATTTCTGTAAGAACTTTGAAACTTAATACCAATCTATAAACAGATGTCCTTTCACCCACAGATAAATTTAGTCCTCACCCCTCAGCAATGAAACTTCACGTTGCAATATACAGAAACCACTATAGAAAGCCACAACCAATCAAAATGCAGAGCTATGGAGCCGGTCCTAATGGCTACAAAACACTCTCACCATAATCCTGTTGCGGGAACATTACAGAAGAAGGGGTGGAAAGACTGTTAAGTACCAGAGGACCAGGGAGTTTGCTCTGAGAGGTGTCTCCTAGTAATATCAGAAGCTACACCCATGAAGTCTCACCAATATGACTGCCCAAACATGAACTGAACAAGGATGGCACCAGTGAACACACCACAGTGGACAGGGAAAAATAACCCACCAGGCCTCACCCTATGCCAAAAACTACAGACAACTAAATAAAACTGGGTATGGGACAGGTGGGGTCCTACCCAGGGAAGGATATACTAGCTGTCCAGTGCCAAACAATCAGTCCTGAAAACATATAAACAAGTAGCATTATTTGGACTTAGCAGGCTACACTTAGGAATATATATGTATATACAAGTATAGATAAGCACTCAATATCAATTAATGAAAAAAGAGGCGATGAATTTGAAGAAAAGAGGGAGGGGTAAATGTAAAGGTTTAGAGGAAAGAAAGGGTGGGAAGAAACATTCTAATTCATTATAATCTCAAAAATAAACAAATTTTAGGCCGGGCGGTGGTGGTGCACACCTTTAATCCCAGCACTCGGGAGGAGGAGGCAGGCGGATCTCTGTGAGTTTGAGACCAGCCTGATCTACAAGAGCTAGTTCCAGGACAGCCTCCAAAGCCACAGAGAAACCCTGTTTTGAAAAATAAAACAACAACAACAACAACAAAAAAACAAAAGCAAAAAACAAATTTTAAAAATTATAAAAAGGTGAAATGTCAAAAAAAATGGGGGGTGGCTAAGACTGATTTCAGTCTTATAATTTAATAGGTCGGCTACTTGGCATATAGGTCCTCTTTACCAAGCATCCAGCAAATGTCTGTTTAGAGCACAAAAGGTCATTTCCAGAAAAGCGCATCTATAAAATGCATGGCTGGGTTACATCCAAGTTCTTGAGAGTTGGAAATGGGAATGAGAAGGACGAGGCAGAAGAGGGAAATAAGGAGTTCGATAGTAATTATAAAATGTTCAAGGTATAAAAAGATTTTGACACTAAATTAAACTGTGCTTAGCATTAAGCGGCTTCAGAGTGTGGCCCTTATCAAATTTATTTCCTAGGTCTCAAAGCCTAATAGATGAGAACAATAAGAAGGAAATCATGACTACCATCTAATATCACATTGGGAGCTACAGCTTACGACTCTGGGTTCCCACCAGTTCGCCTCACTTTTATCATCTGTAGAATGTTGTTAAAAGACTGATTTGAGAATTAAAGACGCTGATATGTGTCAGTGTATTCTTAGTGTATATTAGACTTAATGAACAAAGTTTCCTGAAGGCGCGGTGTTACCAACTTCTGTCTCCCTAACAAGAGCAATACAGGAATTGACAATATACTCTCGTCGGGGGTCGCCTGGGAGACCAAGGTAAAGAAAACCAAAGGCAGAGAAAGCCCGGGGCTGCGCGCCCCCCACCTCCCGCCACGCCACCACGTCGTCAAAAGGAGCAAAGTCCTCTGGGAAGTGTAGTTTTAAGGTCTTGGAAACTACTTGGGCCACGAACCCAAACGCTAGGAAGCTGGGGGTTAAACAGCGAAGAATGCGGGGTATCGGGTAGCTCGAGCGTGTCGGAAGTTCCAGACGTGGGTTAAGCCGCTCACCTGAGTCTCCCAACACCAGAACCTTCACCCGATCCAGGGACGCCATCTTGCCACGACTTCCTTGAGGTTAACGCCCGTTCCTGGATTCTCAGCCAATCAGGGAAGGGTTTGAGGGCAGGGCCTACTACCTCATTGGTCGGCCAGGGCACGATTGGTTTGATTGAAAGCTTCGCCGTGCGGATTAACGGGTGGTTTCCAAACTGGTCGCAGGAATTAGGCGTTTGTCCTTGTGTCGCCAGTGGCGTGGGCTGGCTGAAGCCGGTAGTTGATGTGCTGAGGGCGGCTGTCTGTAGTGGGAGTGTTCGAGCATCCGCTTGGGTAAACCTTATTCCCTGATCCTTGTTCCCGGTTTCTGACCTGGCGTGGTATTTTATGGTTTCTCCTGTCCGCCCCCGCCTTCTGTACCCCCCCTCTCCTCGACCACTCTCCTGCCTTGGTCCTCTTCTTAGTCTTCCAAAAAACCCTTACCCGGGAGCGGCCCATGTGCGGCCTCGGGTAGGTTGGGCTCAGCGGGGCCGGCCGTGGTCCCGGAGCCCCCTGGGCGCGTCCGAGGGACTGTGGGGGCTCGGGGTCTGGACACTCCTGGGCACAGCTGGTGGAGGGCACCTGGGACCCGGAGCTTCCTCCGTCGTGGGCCCCTTCCAGTACGAAGGGACGGAGAGTTCGTGAAATACAGTGACAGAAAAAGTATAGAGGCGGTGTAGAATCCACGTTCTCCCAGAACTCAGGAAATGGTACTTTGAAATAGTCTGGGCGTCCTGCACCTACTTTGTTCTTTTACCCTCCCCTCTTCATCCAGTGTAGTCTTTATTTAAAAAAAAATCACACATTTAATTTCGTAACTCCTTGCTTAAAGCCGTTACAAGTTTAAAAGGAAAAGGATGACTTATAGCTGTCATGATTGTGGATGCAGGAGGTGTGGAACAAGTGAATTAATTCTGTGGAAGCTGGCAGGATGGATGTGCTACAAGAGCACGTGTCCAGAAGATGTTTTGAGAGTTTAAGTACTTGAGTAGCTTATGCTATGTATGCTAGCGTTGGTGAAAGGGTGAAGTTTCTGGTCTTAGAGATGCAGGTAGAAACTGTACAGATTCTGAGGCAATGTGGAGGAGAGCATTAGATGCTACTGTTGGGAATTTGGGAAGGCCAGGAAACATTACCCAAAGCCTTAAGGACATCAGGAGAAAGGTTTGGCTTAGCTTTGAGGGCCGAGGGAAATGGTGTGTGGACATGAGGCTAACTATGGCAAAAGCAGAATGATTTCAACTTTGTTTCTCCCAGCTCCTTAAAAGTTTGTACAATTAGACTATAGTTCTGGACTGGGTAGGGTGAAATTAGGAGAAAGAAGATGAAGACCAGTAGCTATGACACCAAGAAGGCACCATAGACCAGAGAAGTTGTCTTCTTAAGTGTCAGCTGCTATAGAAACTAGCAAATGGAGGAATGTGGGCTCACTTTTCACTTACTTCCAATTTTTCAAGAGGAGTGGGACGATGAAATTTATAAGTTTAAAATTTATACTTTTAAATGTTGACAACCGATTCATAAAAATGTTCAAAACATTCTGTATGGGCTTCCAGTTTCAGAACTTGGCTTAAGTATCTTAGACCTAGAGATTGAGTAATCTTGATTCATCCTGACTGGGGACTTAAGTGGTGAAGGAACAAAGGCTCTGGTCAGGAAGGGGGATTTAAAATTTGGGATTTTTGAATTAGGTAGCCCCCCCTGAGCTCCATTTCCATCAATTCAACTACCTTGTGTATGTCTTCAAAGGAATAGCGTGATATTTCATCAAAGACATGCTTCTGAAAGGGATGTTAGCTATTTCTCATGTACTTTCTCTCCTTACAGTGCCTCAAAACAGCTACATAGGATTTTTTTCCCCCCTAGTATATTGTTGGGTCCTTTTGATTTTGTTTCTGTAATAAGTTTCAGTTATCTTGTCCTTGCAATTTTCCCCTTTTTTCTTAAGTTTAGGTTTTATTACTACAGCTCCTGGTACAACCACGGTATCACTTCAAATCATCAGCTCACTGGCGTAAGAATCAGTTAGAAGGGGGATTTTGTTCTGAATGCATTTTTAGTTCAGTTGAAATCATATATCAGCCCAGAAGCAGAACATTTTATGTTAATTATCTGATTTAATTCATACATTAATTGTGTGAGGAAAGCACTTTGATTTCATATGTGAAGAAACGGGAGGTGGTAGATTTTCTGGAGCCAACACTAAGAAATAGACTTGGGATTTTTCAAGCTGAAACTATTGACTAGAAAAGTCTTGATGTTACTCCTTTGCACTGATCTTCAAGACCCCTGGAGGTGTATCAGACAAAGGAAACAGGCTGAACAGCAAGTAGCACAGGGACTTCTCCATACAGGATGTTCATTTGCAGGATGCCAATAGCCATGGGACAGACTGGAGCTATTAGCAGGAACTTAGAGTTGCACATTAGAGTACTCGAAAGGGATTTTAAAATTAGAGGCATTCCTAATCTGACCCTTATATCAGCTGAAACAAAGCTCCTGAGAGTGGAGTTCAGGGGTTTTTCAAGATAGGGTTTCTCTGTGTAGCTTTGGAGCCTCTCCTGGGACCAGGCTGGCTTGGAACTCACAGAGATCTATCTGCCTGCCTCTGCTTCCCGAGTGCTGGGATTAAAGGCGTGCTCCACCAACGCCGGGCTTGGTTACTTAGTATTCTTAAAATACTGTCTAGATGATTCTGCTTTGCAGTCAGAGTTGAGAACCAATAGTCTGAATCTTAGAGTGTGTGAGGGTGGGAACAGTGGAGAGTAAAGTTTGGAAGGTGATACAGAAAATGATAAGCCATGCTGACATTGGTCTGGCCTTTGGTCTTTGGATGTTTCTGAAGCCATATGTTCTATTCTGTCAGCTACTGGGCATGTAAAACAAAAGGCAAAATATGATTTTTTTTTTTTTTTGAGACAGGGTTTCTTTGTGTAGCTTTGGAGCCTATCCTGGCACTCGCTCTGGAGACCAGGCTGGCCTCAAACTCACAGATCTGCCTGCCTCTGCCTCCGCCTCCCAAGTGCTGAGATTAAAGGCATGTGCCACCAACACCCGGCAGCAAAATACGGTTTTAAGTACGATGTGTAGACAAAATTGGGAAGGAGATCAAAATGTATCCGATACTTTGCTGTGAATCTGATTTGGTAATGAACCCAGACATTCTTAAACATCTAGGGTGACGGAAAGACTCTAGGACTGCAGGTTTGGACCTAGTAGGTCATGTACTACTTTGAGTACTGTGGTTTGAAATATATATATATTGTAACTAACTTTTCTTTATCTTTTTCCTTTATTGTTGATATGTCCCATAAAAAGTGTGCACATTGGTTATTTAGGACTTTATAGTACAGTATTGCAGATATTATTTCTTACAGAAAGAAGCATTAATCTGATAGGATTGGTTACTTAAGAGTTCAAATTAAAGGTTCAATTGAAAGCTGGTATTAATAACAATATGCTCATAGAAATAGTTCAGTAGGATGTCTATTAAAATTTTTTCTATATCGTACAGAAATTCCAGGGATAGCTGACTAGTTTCAGTTTGGTCATATTAAAGTTACGTTGAATCAACCCTAGGTAATAAGTCCTCTTAGATGCCACTTAACATTTTCATTAATCACAGCACCCCATTTTCCTTCTGAGAGTCAAGCGTGGCTTGAGTTGTGTAAGGCTTTGATTGGGTGCCTACAGCAACCAAAATGCAGCCTCCGACATGGGTCCACAGCCCAAGTGCTATCACATGCATGTCAGAGACTCAGAGAGGACAGCTGTGGGCTGTGGCCTAGAAGGTACATACTCTCAGATCTGCTTTGTTCTTCAAGGAACTGGGTATTAAAGGGTATCTTCCTCCCCTCCCCCTCCATTTTTTAAGATCTAGAAGGTGTTTGCTTAATGAGCAGATTTAACTTTCAAAGTTGGTAAAGCACCTTGGGTCTTAGCATTAATTTCCTTCAGTTATGACAGTCCTTAATTTTATCATCCCACTTGGCAGTTACTTATGTGTTTATTGTTTTGTGATTTCATTCTGAAAGTGTGCCTGTGTAAAACATTCTTGAATCTTCACAGGAAAGTTTTACTGAAAAGAAATGAAGTCTAGGGTAATTGCTGGAAATCTCTTGAGCATGCCATTAAGAATAGGGAACACTCTCAGAGGGTTTTTTTGTTTCTCTTTGTGAAATAAAATAGAGTTGATGTAATATATCATTGTCAGAAATAATAGTTTTTTTGGAATCTAGCACACTGTTGATCATAAAAGTAACTATTTAAGGCTTATGTCAGGCTTTTTAGGTGTGATCTTTTGTGTACTATAGAGGAAAACCCTGGCTTTCTATTAAGTACTTAAGTGTTAGAAATCTTTTAAAGCAATGTCTGAATGTTTTTGTGGCACTTTAAGAATAATGATAGCTGCCAGTAAGAGGTGGTTGTAGATTAAAGTGATTATCATGTCCTTATGTCTACTAATCTCCACCCCCATCCATAGAGTTGAAGTTGGAGCTTGCTGTTGAAGATGGCAGACCCAGATGTCCTCACCGAGGTTCCAGCAGCATTGAAGCGGTTAGCCAAGTATGTAATCCGGGGTTTTTACGGCATTGAGCACGTGTTGGCCTTGGACATCTTGATCCGAAACCCCTGTGTAAAGGAAGAGGACATGCTGGAGCTGCTCAAGTTTGATCGGAAGCAACTTCGATCTGTTTTGAATAACTTAAAGGGAGACAAGTTCATCAAATGCAGAATGAGGGTAGAGACTGCTGCAGATGGGAAAACCACACGCCATAACTACTACTTCATCAATTATCGCACTCTTGTTAATGTTGTAAAATACAAACTGGACCACATGAGAAGGAGGATTGAAACAGATGAGAGAAATTCCACCAATCGGGCTTCCTTCAAATGTCCTGTCTGTTGCAGTACTTTCACTGACCTAGAAGCTAATCAGCTGTTTGACCCTATGACAGGTGAGACTTACCCAGTTTATGAATCAAGTAAAATAAGATGTGTACTCACTTTTATTTAAATTGTTCTAAGTTGTAAGCCAATCATAGGCTTTGTAGGAGTAAATAGATGAGTGTGAATCAGCATACAGCCCTGCTGTCTTGGCTGGCTGACATACAGCTTTGAGAAGTTTTTGCATTGTCTTCCTTCATAGGGAAGTGTACTTACCCATGGAGTTTTTCCCACTGATTGCTCTCCTGAACCTCCCCTTGTTTACTGCTGCAGCCTAATCTCAGGGTTGATTCTATACCACTCTGAGGCTATTCTGACTTTCCTTGTGACCTCATTCTTCAGCAAATTATTTTAGTGTCTATTTATGCCCATTACTGGCAGGCAAGCTTATAAGCATATTGACGGAGACCCTTGCACAGCAGGGGCTCCCTCTCAGACCTCAGATTAGGCACAAGCCACCCAAACACCTGTTTTCACAGAGAGATCCTTTATTAAGCTGGAAAGAAAAGTTAAAAGTGGCTGTTTTCTAACTCAGGCAGAAAACAGTAGCAAATGACCTTGTAGGTATAATTCCTAAGAGGATAAAAAGGGGAGATCTCTGTTAGAATGTACTTACTCCATGGGTAAGTACACTTCCCTATGAAGGAAGACAATGCAAAAACTTCTCAAAGCTGTATGTCAGCCAGCCAAGACAGCAGGGCTGTATGCTGATTCACACTCATCTATTTACTCCTACAAAGCCTAAGGATGCAGTGGTGAAGGAAATAGGGGACCAGGGGCAGGGCTATTTGTCCTGGAGCAACTAACGACTGACTGCCTCTGGATAAAGACGTGGCACATAGGAAAATGGCAGTTTATAAAGGTAGAGGTAGAAACCCTGTGTTGGGATAAGGTTTAATTTTAATTGGGCATGCTAATGAAGTGAACCAAAAGGGGCTTTTGATAGCTGGACTTTGGTAGTCAACCTCAGGAGGAGGAAGTGGCCAAATAAGGGAATAGACTTCGGTGGCTTGCTTTAAGAATGTAATCTTAAAGCAAGGCAGAGGGAATGGGAGAGAAGGGCAAGGCCTGCTAGAGCCATGTTTGCCAGGCCTGGGCTGGCCAGAGTCCCTGCACATACGACAAAATATGCTTAAATGCTTTGCTAGTGGATGTGTATTGTGCCAGCAGGAGTGTGTAACTAGGACATGTGATCTTTATTTGGGGGAGGTCACTAGAGGGAGGATTACCTGAGACCTAAAAGATTAAATGAGAATTAGCCAGATCAAGTAAAAGGGGAACCTTTTTAAATTTAATAAATGGATCAATAATTTAGATCAATTAATGGAAGACAATTGTTAACAACATATTATGACTTGCCTCATTTATCAGATACTTTACTTTTAAGAATTTGCATTAACACAATTTATGAACCATGTTTTCCAAACTCTCCAGAAATTTAGTATATCTGACGTTAATGTGAGAAACATTAAAATTCTGGGTTAATTGGTTATTTTTAAATTAAACTAGGCATCAGACAATTTTTGTCAAATACTTGGACCAGTTTTGTCTTGTTACCTTGCAGTGGGCTTATTTTATCTAGGAAAGGGTTTTTTGTCTTTTTATATCATTTGTTTTTTGAGACAAGATCTCCCTGTATGCTCAGGCTGGAACCTACTATGTTGACCTTGAACTCCTGTCGATCCTTTTGCCTTAGTCTCCAGAGTGCTGCATCATAGATCCTCACCACTTTGCCTAGTACATGGTTTGCTTTTTGTTGCTGTGATAAAGCAGCATGCTCAAAACTGACTTATAGAAGAAAGAGTTTATCTTGGTTTACAGTTTCAGAGGGAGAGTCTGTGATGGTGAAGGCATATGGTGGCAGGCAGTTGAAGCAGCGAGGCTAAGATATTATGTCTTCATTTACATGCAAGAAACAGGAAGCTAACTGTAAGTGGGCTGATGTTATAAGCTCTCCAAGTCTGGCCCCAGTGACATACTTCCTCTGGTAAGGGTCCACTCTTAAACTCCCCAGATAGTGCAATCAGCAGGAAGTCAAGTTTCAAATACCTGAGCCTGTAGGAGACATAACTAGGAGAACTCTTATTTATTTATTTATTTATTTATTTATTTATTTATTTATTTTCGAGATAGAGTTTACACTCTAGACAAAGATGACCAGGAGCCCACTCTGTCTCTCAGCTTGGCCTTGAACTCTAGATAATCCTACTTCAGTCCCCCTAATCCTGGGGTTATAGGTGTGAGGCACAATGTTTGGCTGTGAGATCTTGACCTTAAGAAAATCTTATTAACTATCTTGGGTGTAAGCAAGACAGTGGACTCGTCTTATTGTATTGGATGGCAGTGAAAGGTGTTATCTAGTTCCTCAGAAAGATAATCTGTAATAATATGCTTCTACATTTATTCATCATTTGAGTCCTATTTAATTTTTATGAAACTTTCTAAAAAATCGTTGAGGTAATTGATCCATGCTGCTCTTTGAATTTCACTCATGATTAGTGTAATTGAAACTAGGTGTAATCCACAGATAGGCTTTGGAAAAAGTTGTCTTGATTTATGAGTATTGCTAGACTTATTAGTGTGAATGAGCTGATTGTAGCATAAAGGCGTGAAAAGATTTTTCTGAAAGAAAACTAAAGCTGAGGTGAGTGTTTTGTAGCTAGTCTGAATAAATCCTGTATTTTCAGTATGAGGTCTGTAGTCAACAAGAATGTAGGAAGAGGGGGTGTGTGAGAGCAAGAAAAGCCACTTAACCTTTGATGTCAACCAGAAGCAGAGCACTCTCAAACCCTTATACTAAAGCTTAGTTGGTGGCTTTTTGCTCGTGGTGCAACCTGACTTAGCATAACTGGAAATCTGTAATCAATCAAGGACTTGCCACCTGATAGTAATGTGACTTTTTATTGGGTTTTATAGAAGAACAAAATGTACTAGTAGATTGGTTGATTCTACCTATTAATTCATAGGTAATAAGCACGCTCAGGTGTGTGTGTGTGTGTGTGTGTGTGTGTGTGTGTGTGTGTGTGTGTGTGAGAATTCTTAAACTACTAATACCTTGATATCTATTTTTCCTTTATCTGTACATCCTCTTTAGAAACCCCTGTGGGGCCCCCCCACCCCCTTTGCTTCCGTCTTGTTTTGTTTAGTTTTTATCTCTCTTACCTTCATTATGGAGAAAATGAGAAGTAAACATACATGAGGCAGGGGTGCAGGGTCCTCACTCTGATAATATTTATGCACTGTTTAAATTTGTGCACAGTAGATTTATTCTAACCTCAGTTCTGCATTCCTCAGTTTTATTGATACTGGAGATTAATGGTGTCTCTGGTCTAATGATGGAGATGACTGAAGGGCTTCTTTTGTTTGGTTAGTTAGGTTTTGAGAGAGGGACTCAGGTAGCCCAGGCTGGCCTTGTACTTGCTATGTAGCTGCGGATGACCTGATTCCTGATCCTTCTGCCTCTACCTTCTGGGTGCTAGCTAAGTGATGGACCCGAGAGCTTCCCTTTCTATTTCTTCCTTAGCAATTCTAGGTTGAACTGTGGTTATTTTAGCCATCGGGGAACATTCAGTATTTGGATTTGGAGCCTTCCATACTTACTTTTGATAAAATATTCCTAACTCATATGTATGGGCATCTCTTTGCCAGTGAACAAAAGGAAGTAACTCCTAGATGAAGTGTCCAGGAGCATGGGTAATTTTGTATTCAATGAGTAAGGATTATTTTACTGTGAATTCATTTATGGGCCAGTGATTTCCTACAGGTTTGTGGATTTTTTCCTTATTTGCCATTCATGCTTTACCTTTGGTCTTCCTGGGGCCAACTATAAATGTTTGGTATATGTAGATCCTTTTTTACACCCCCCCTCCCCCATTTGGAGTAGTTTTCAGTGTGACCAGCATTTAACAAGCAACACAACGTGGTCATCCACATATTTTTTTTTTTTTTTGAGACTGTGCAATGCAGTTGCAAAAAAACCTAAAGATGTTTTAAGTAAGTTTATGATTTTTTTATTGGACTGCATTCATAGGTAGCATATGGCTAGTGGGATGCAGGTTGGACAAGCCTGGTAGTTTTTGCCCACCAGTTCTGGGCTTCAGAAGTTTAATCAGACAAAAATAGCTGTTTCAGTTCCAGAAATATGGGGAGGTTATATAATTAAAACAGACATGACATGAAATCCCTCAGATCAGCAGAATAGCATCTTGTGGTTCCTAAGTGCATGGTTTAGATTTAGCAAGCTTTCTAACAATGTAAATAGACTTAGTATTTCTATCTTAACACTCTCAGCCACATGTGATGTAGTTAATGGCACTTCTGAGTTAAGTTTAGCAACATGTGTTATTCTCTTTTTATATGTTAGGGTTAGATGGAATGGAAATAGCTTTATGTTTTCCATTTTTAAATTAAAAATATGCACCCGTAATTTCAGAGAAAATTTTCAAGAAGGAAAAAAAGATATCATCCAAACCACCAGCCTTTTTATATTTTACCTATATTTATAATTGTAGCCTAGAATATTTTTTGGTCTCTTGGTTTCTTAATGCATCAAACTCTTTTTAAAGTATTCAAAATATAGCTAATAGGTCTGGTTTTCCCTGCCTTAGCATAGGTACTTCATTTTTTGCCCTCTGTTGCAAATAAGATGCTTTGTATTCCTTTGTATATATTCCATTTTATTCTTGCTAATTTTTTTCTCAGTAATAAGAATATTGCCAAAAGAATGTAGTTCTGTGGCTTCTATAAATGCTTATGTGGCACCATGGTTTTATTGTAAGTGGAATAAAATTCTCAAATGTTGGAATTAGAAATATGTTGGAAGCCTTGGCTGGCCTGGAACTTGCTATGTAGACCAGCCCAGTCTCTGCCTCTTGAGAGCTAAGATTTAAGTCTTTTGTGACCATGCCTGGCTTTTGATCTTAACAGTTTGAGAGCTCTACTTTTTTTTTAATTTATATTTTATGTATGAGTGTGCTACATATATACCCACATGCCAGAAGAGGGCATCTGA